AGAATTAGCTTTGATGGGCAAAGTGACATTATAGAAATCCAAGTGGGAAGGGTTAATTTTGATGTACGAAGAAATACATAAACCACATTGAAAATTGACCCAAAGGATTTCTTGTATTCTTTTATTTCATCTGCAAAATACATTTCTATTTTTCCTTTATAACATAACATCACCGTGGTTCAAACCAATACGATTGCTGATGATAACTCAGTCCTTACTAGCTCTGTGGTCAAGAAACACATTGTAGGCAGGGAAGGGCGTAGACTGAGGTGGTCAGCATGGGAATTGACCCAGGACCAACTGGTGTGAAGTGTTATAGACTCACACTTGTAGTATTACTAAGAGGGACCTTTATTAAAATCACAGAGTCACGTCAAAAGAGTTGAATTCCTGAGAATCCTGATCCAATTTGGAAAACAAAGGAACATTGTGGAGAGTAATTAATGAGTAATTAATGAGATCTTATAAGGTAATTATTTACACCTGGGACCATTGAGCTTTGACCATAGATTTCCAACACATTCCTCCCTGGTCTTTTGAATGGGAATAAAGGTTTATACTTTGTTTCCTGTTTAGAATTGGTTTTCCAGTTCTTTCTAAAGTCTGCTTCAGTTCTGTATTCCAAACATCTGTGCCTGAACTCTTTTTTTTCTTTCCTACACCAGTCATACTCCTCCCTCAGTCTTTTGAACAGTAGAGGTTTATCCCTTGTGTCCTGTTTAGGATTGGATTTCTGGATCCTTCTAAAGTCTATTTCAGTTCTGTACTTCTAATACTTGTCCTTTCCTATGCTAATATAACTCCACACAGTAGCACTCTACTTTGAGCGGCTCTTTGGCATTGTGTAAGAAATGTGAAAAAACTGGTAGCATGATATTAATACATGTTAAAACATCAGGTTTTGTGAAAATGTAAAACTAGCAGATGCTCTTGAAATTGATCTCCAATTACCGTATTTGATGGCATATAAGGTGCACTTTTTTTTTTACTAAAAAATCTTTTAAAATTCCCTTGCGTCTTTTATGCCATATGTAGGTTTAAAATTCGCAATAGGCAACCGAAATTAGCTACCTGGCAATTCCTGTTAGCTTAGACTTTAAAGTAACTTTCATATACCTATTATCATTATTTAAAAGGCTATTATGCAGATTAAAAGTGTTATCATTGATAATATTATATTAATTTCATACTTAATATTTGTACTTTGTTTCGCTAAAATTATATGCAATAAATTCAAATTATATATTTGTAAAATATATTTGTTTCCTTAATATTTTTCTTGTGATAACTTTTGGTTGCATTGGTATAGATACAATCAGAATTTTTATATCCTAATTATTCCAATAAGTCATTTACAAGATGCAGGTTGTACAGATCATATAAAGGATATAATCAAGTTTTTATAGGCTTGTATTCTTTTTTCCTATCATCTTTCATTTAATTGTATCATGGCTTGTTTAACCAAAATAATACCTCATAATAGTCCAAATAATATAAATAGTGCTCATAAATATAGCCTAGGCTGTACCATTTACAAAAGATTTTAGTAATTACTAATTTTTTCTTAATATGCCCTGCTGAAATTGGAGTGCGTCTTATACACCGTCAAATATGGTAGCTGTTAACTCCGGCAAGAAATGGCTTGTCAATTTTAACACCACCAACCATAGCTGATGCTAACCAACTGGAGAGCAACTGATTACACTTTCTTGGTCTCAATGACATAGATTGCAGTGATTATATTGAATGAATTGCTAAGTCTGATGCTAGGAAAGTTGGTTCACTGTGTCATGTCAGAAAATTTTTCTTGCCAAAATCCATTTTGCACATTTATAAATCTACCATTAATCTGTGCAGTGAATATTGCTGCTATATTTGGTCTGGAGATCCTGTAATATATATTGAAGATTCTCAGCAAAATTCAAAGAAGGGTCTGTGATGTTATTGGTCCTGACCTGGCATCTTGAATTCAGTCTTTTTTCCACCATTGTAATGTGGCTATCCTCTCTTTTCTAGAAATATTTTCATGACAATTGTTCTAACGATCTCTTGTCCTTGGTACCTCGATAGTGTGTATTTAAGCATACTACTAGATTGGTGACTAGGCCTCATCATTTTACTTTTGAAATCACTATATGTAACTTTAAGTTCTATTCCAATCGTCTCTTTTCTTGCATTTCTCACATCTGGAAATGTCTTCTGGTTTCTTGCCAACCAGAATCTTCAAAAGTTTAAATGCAACATCAAGTGCCATTTTCTGTCTTTCTGAATCCTGTTCTTTTCCCCACTCTAAAGTCTTCTTATTCTCCCAGTAACCCCTTGTATCTTAGTGACATAATAAATGTTTAAAAAAAAAATAATATGTGGACCCCATCATGTGCATAAAGAACAAATAATACAGTTAATAAAGCCAGGGATATAATTTTCATGGGATGAGGAGTTATTATTCACATTTGGACTAATCACTTCATCCTTGTCATTATCACAATGTTTCAACAGTAGGGGCCTTCCAGCCTTCTTCAGCTGTCTGTTGATCTGGGTAACATTTAAAGAATTTATTTATTCAAAGTCCTGATTGTTCTCATCTTGTTCATTTTTAGTATTCTCAGTTAAAGCAAGAGGAAGAGTACCTTAAAATAAATAAAAGCCTGACAAAGAGTACTTATAGTACGAGAATTTCCTATGGAGACTGAGATTATTGCAAGTTATTGTACTGATGAGCTTTCCTCTTTGGTACCTAGGCATTAAGAATTTAAGTATGGTACTAGGTTGGCAACAAGGTTTCATCATTTTACAGTTGAAATGTCTAGGTGTATCCATAAGTTCTAAGTTGCTTCTCTCGCACTTCTTGCTTGTGGTACTCACTTCTGACTTTTTGCTTTCAACTTTGATTTAAAATATTAAATGCAAGGTCAATTATCTTCTTAATTTCTGTTCATTTACTGTTCCCTCTCTTTAATAATGTTTTTTCTTCTCAGTGTCTTACACTCAGTAATCCCTCCCCTTGCTTCTTAGTGGCTTTATTGCCTTGCTTGGAGTGAAATGATAAATAAATAAAAAAAAAAAAAATAAAAAAAAAAAATAGGAGACATTATAAAGAAATATTTACAACTGTCAGTGGTCAATAACACACTTTGTTAACCTTTATTGTTTTTAAGAAATCAGTTATTAAGCTGAGTCATAAGTAATTTCCGTTTTTGGGGAACCAATTGTAATGACGAATGTATCATCCTAACTACTAATGATACATGGCAGTGAAATGGAGTACACTAACATATAATAGATAGATAGATAAGGTTAAGTCATAAGTAATTTCCGTTTTGGGGAACCAACTGCAATGACCAACATGTAGTCAGAATGACAGTCAATGCAAGCAATCCTTTCCTTAGTTGCATAGTATGTGCTTTTTGAGGGCTACATACAGTTCTGAATTCAGCATTGTCCTTTTCCTAGATTGGTTGCCACCCAAGGCTATAGAACATATTCTGTCCTATTACTTACTCATAGCTAGGAGAAGAATTGGATTGATACCTTATTCACACATAAATAAATGTAATGAACTCGAATGAAATTCAAACTCAGCTCTCCGATTCTTCAACCCATTACTCTACCACGCCTCCTTTCCAGACTAATTGTTCCTTAAATATAGCATAGATTATGAAAAATGATTTATTTATGACAATGTTAAACTCAAAAGACAGTGGATTGACAAGAATAAATCTCTACAACAAACTCCAAAAGCTGAGCTCCATGGAATATAAAGTAATGTGCATGTGGTAAGATCATTGAGGTATTATCATTTAGATTTCTTTAACCACAACAAAACATTAAATTTACATTTATATGTCCAACAACCACAATGTGTCCATAAAAGTCTGGTCATGCTCTTTAATCCGAGAAAGTTCTCCAAACCAATGCAAAGCTGTATACAAGACCCGAAAAAAAAAAAAAAAATTTTTGGAACTCAGTTGGTCTGTCCTACTCAACCTGCCATATTCACTTGGACTTTCACCAACCAATTATTACATTTTTTTTTTTTTGATCACTACAAAATGCTCTGATGGGGGAAACTTTCTTTAATGAAAACCAGATTCAAGGGTTAACTGAAAACGTTTTCACATCAAAATGTCTAGAATTTTACACAAAAGGTATGGAAGAGCTACCTGCTAAGTTGTAACTTCATAGTAAATACAAAATCAAATGAAATGTAATTGTACTTTATGGCAATTGTTTTATTTTTATGCGGAGGTAGTAAATGTATTAGTGTCTATCAAGAAAAGGGATTTTGTTATTAAGTTCATATGTGAATTTAAGAACAGTTTTTTTTTTTTTAAGTTTTCCTGTAGTTCATATTTTAAACTAAGAATATCATCTATATATCTTAGGTAAATGGAAGGTTCTTTTTAGTAGTGTTATTTTCAAGGTTTCATGTAGAAGTTACTAAATGTATTTCACATCCTACAGATTTTACAAGGTAAATCAATGTAATACTGACAATAATATGAAATCTGAACAGCTTATGTATCCATTTGTTGGCTTAAAGTCACACCAAACTGTGGAACAGGAGCTAAACATACTGTGATGATTAGCATTTGAAAAATGAAAACTGGCTTGTAATAGTATCATCTTGTAAGGGCTAAAATTTTTAAAGCTTTGAAATTTTTATCCAGGTTCAAATCATTAGCAATTTTGAATGTGAAATTATGATACTATCTTAAGGAAAATATGATAGAAATAAACTTTTTTCCAATAAAATGTATGGAGGTCATCAGGTTACTCAGAATGAAAAGACAATAGTCTTAAATCTTAAGACTTTAATATTATTACTCCTTTTTGTTATGGTTTTTATTTGATGAAACTAGAAAAATACATGGTAAAATAAAAAATGAAAAAAAAGAAACGTGTTCAATAATCATTTATTGTCAAGTCAGTCCTACAAGAGAGTTGTGTATTTAAGAAAAAGCAATTTCTATAAAATAGTAATGCTAAATGTCCCAGGATTATAGCTTAAAGAGAACATTATCTGTCTCTGGATTGTAGCCTTTCTTATAATATATGCCGGGATTCTGTAAAGAGAAATAAAGATTATTAATATAGCACAATCATTCCTATTTAGTAGTTATGTTGCATCAAATAGATTTTAAAATTACACTCTTTATACTTTATTAGAAATCTTAAGTTACACATAGTGAAAAGGAGCTAACAGTTACAAGTTATTTTATTATTTGAAATTGTTAATAAGACTATTTGCTTTGAATCTATAGGCTTGTCTTTTTTTCCCTCCATTTTTTTTATCCTAAGTAAATTTTTATTTCACAGTAAAAGAAATATAGAACTTTAAAAAAAAAAACAAAAAAAAAACATTTTCAAGTTTCACACTTTATGCATATGTCAATCTTTGTTTTTTGGTTTACACTCAAATGAATGTACATTAATCAAGTCGGGAAATCTATGATGAGAGAAGTTATGTTTAAAATGTACAATTTTCAGCCTTGTCTGACTGATTTGTTCTCTGTAGCTCAGCTGGTCAGAACATACCAGATTTAACAGTAGCTCCCTTTGTCTAGAGGGACGCAGGTTAGAATCCTGCTAGAGAGTGCAAAATTTTCTTTAATAAAATTACTTGAACATTTAGGGCGGTAGACAAAAATAAATATATTGTTTAATAAATAAACCTAGTGTCTACTCAAGTATCCACTAAAAATAACATTTAAAGTGATAAAAAATCTCTCAGATTAATAAAAATCCATTACTTTCTTAAAAAAATTCACATTAATCTATGTATAAAATAATGCATAGTGTATGAAATCATTCAAATCAAAAATAAGTTACTCAGAAATAGGAATTATTCAAGAAACAATTGAAAAGGAAGATTCATTGACATTCCTGTAAAATAAAAACAATGAAACTTACATTATGAATAACTGTTTCGAGTTCTATCAAATCTTCTCCATGAATCATCAGTTCTGGTGCATCCAGTGGTGGTTCGACCAAAAATAATGGATGCAGTGTATCTTTCATTGAAACCCTTTATAAAAAGAGAAAATGCAAAACTGCCAGCACCACTTCAGTGACTATAGAAATATAAGAAATTACATTTTCCCCCTGAAGAAAATGGTAAGACATTTTCAAGTTCCTACTTGATTCAGTGTATTAGAAATAAATCTATCTTTTTTTTTTATCTGAACACATTAGAATCTTAGAAACCAAGATTAGAGATTGTCCAATATAAAAAGCATATTAAGATTCAAATAAAGTTGCTTTCCTTTCATAGTTTATTAAAAGACAAAGAAAAGATATTATCATCAGATTAGAGGAAGTCATGAGTAAAATCAAGTTTTTGTGATGTGCTATTAAGACATACTTTAATCTCTTTCACTTTTAAGAGTCAAGTGTTAAACCAATATGGCCAGCTTAATATAAAACAACAAAATGTCATTCTGTATTTCTTTTATATCACCATTATATAAAGCAGAAAGAAAATATATTCTGGCTTTCATGTAGTATTTATAAAGAATAACTTGATTGATATAAATTAAGATTTGTCTATATTTCTGAGATGAGATATTGTAACTGTTTGGACTGTTGTCATCTCCACAACATTTCAGCCATTGTATGCTCCGACCTTCAGGTAATTGGAATTTTGAACTAAGGACACATGGCCCAGTGGATAAAAGTGTTGGTTGAAGTAATCCAGTGGCTTGACCAATGAGTTGAGAGTTCAATACCTGGTCACAGCAGTGGTAAATACAAACTTGGGGACTTGAGTTACTAAAAGGAAATAACTGAAACTGAGATATCCAGAAGAGGCATGGAACTAGAACAATGTACCTTGGTGGACAAAAGTTTGGTCTGAAATTCAATCACCTGAAGCATACAACAACCAGAACATTGTCGATATGACAACAAAGATGAAGAGAATAGTCCGAACAATGTAAAGAGTGTAAATTAAGATTTGGTAAAAATGAACAAATTAAATCATTTATTAATCAGTTTCAGACAAAATAAAAACCTCTTTTTATTAAAAATTATTAAGATATGACATTACTACTGAGTGGACACCAACTTAAAGTAAAATTTAATTAACTTATAATTTAGAATGTACAGAGCATTTATGACATATATCAAATTATTAATATGCAAAGTTTATACTTTGAAGTATGTATTAAGTTATTAGAAATGTTATACTCTTCAAGTAACAAACATTCAAATAGAGCCAATCATTTTCCGTTAAATATGCAGACATACTCATGTGTTTGTTACTATGTCTACATGCCAGGTATAAATTACAGGATGTCTCAAGTAGCCAGTCCAAGTTTGCAGGTGGTGTAAAAGTTTGAGTCAAAGTAGTAAGAGGACTCATTAAGATATTTTCCCAGTGTCTAGTATATTCCCTGTTGTACCAAATCTATCAAGAAACTTGACTAAGGGAAAAAAAAAAAAAAAAATTAAAAAAGAATTGTAAAGAACTCAACAATTTCTGGAATATATTTTTCATGGGGGATTTACACTTTATCTGCTTTCTTTGTGGAGGAGTTAAATATTTTCACTTTTTACATAAACCTTCCACAAGTTTATCTCCTGACCTTTTTTCTTTTTTTAATTAAAAGTTTGCTTGCAACAAAAATAAGTTAGATGTTTAAAAACGTTTTCTTGTTATCAGTGAAATAGAAATCTGTGACTAAATTAATAAAACAACAAGAAAATCTCCCATGACTGAGGGAATATTATTAATTAGCTTAAAAATAAAATAGTGATGAAGGGGAGGGGGGAAATACATGGAAAAATCTATAAATTACATTTTTTAATATTTAGAAGAGTTTAATAGTTTTAAATTAATGGATTTAACATTTTTGTAGACAATTTTTATCATAGATAAATATGCTGGAAAGCAATTTAACATTACTTAAAAAAAAAACAACAAAAAAACAGGTATTCCCTTTTCTAAATGGTTGTTAGTTAATTTCTATCATTAAGAAAATATACAAAACAATAAATTTAACATCTTTTAATGACATTTTGTCTAGTGCAAAGAAAAAGAAACTTATTTGTAGAAAACACAGATCCTTTTGCATAGTATGGGGATTCAGGAGTTTCTATCAACAATACGCCCACCTAAGCCAAACACACATTAATGTAGATATATGAAAATGAACATATTTACTGAAACTAAATAATACTTGATACAAATTCAATATTCTGAAAGTATTTCATGAGACTGAACAACTTAATCACCTATCAAGATAAATAGGTAGCTTATGTCAGTATATCAAATTACACTTCTTTTATGTGTTAGGCTGAGATGTGTTATAAACAACAAGAATCTAGATCAATCTTTTCACATTCTTTATCACATAATTACTAAAATTATAATTTTGCAGTGATTCATCATATCAAAATAGAATGTTTAGCCTGGAATTGTTCAAATTTATCAAAACAAATAAATAGAAATAGAAACAAATTAAAAATTTGGAAGATTGTAGGCAGAGGAGTGAAATGGCAACTTACACCATTCGGTAGTTGTTAAAATCATCTTCTCTTCTTTGGCGCCACTCTTTGAATTTTTCAGGTTGGCTTTCAACTTCAACTAAATTTAATTCTTCTAACTCTTCAATAATCTGTCATAACAGGGAGGAAAAACATTAGAAAATAAGTGAGAAAAATGTAACTAGGAAATTTCTTCAAAATTTGCTAAAATTCAACAGAATATTCAATTTTGATTACAATGTTTCAACTGACATTTTCTGGTCCTCTTCAGTTTTATTTTTTAATATAGATTTCTTCAAAGCATTTTGATAAAAATATATATCTATATTCCCAACAAAGTTTTGAAGAAATTTGACATGAAAAACTGTTTAATTGAAATTAGATTTGATTATGCCTTTCGCCCTTTTAGTAGTACTTAAGTACTTTGCATTAGTACTTCCTTCGCCAATTTGGCAAAGGATGTACTAATGATTTATTATTTCAGCATACACACACACATTTCTTTCATTCTGGGTTTTAATGAAACCTAGAATGGCGGAACATGTAATCAAATTTAGTTTCAGTAAAATGATTTTTCATTTGTCAAATTTCATCAACATTTTATATATATATATATATATATATATATATATATAAAGCAAACTTCATTGCATGTAAAAGATAAGGTTCTATTATTATAAATCAATATCAACTACAAATTTTTTTTTCACATTGATTGCTTCATATGAATGCAATTAATAGTTGGAAAAATTGCTATACATTTTTCTTTTTCTTTTTTTTTTTTTTTTAAAAACAGTATCACTAGTAGCAGTGGCATTACAACCACTAACATGCAAGGGGTTACAGAGTGTGGAAGAATTAAAAACAGAAACATTAATAATGGGTAGGAAGAGGAAAGAGTAATCAGGAGGACAGTAGATAGCAACTGACATTGCATTTAAGTTTTTGTAGATTAAAGTTGGCTGGAAACCATGGAGCTGGAAGTGGGTAGTTCCACTAGTGAGAAGTGTAAGAAATAAAACTGTCAGTATAGAAGTTATGGTTACATCTAGCTTTCGTAAAAAAAAAAAAAAAAAAAAAAAAAAAAAATTTTTTCGATGTCATTGAATAGTTATTTTCGACATTATAGAATATTGAATAGTTTCATTGCTTGAATTGATGTTTTATTAGAACCATTAACATGAATACTGTTTATATTGTTTTCTTTCTTTTTTTTAATGTGTGCTTTATAGGATCAAAAAATGTTGTTACACTCAAGCTAAACTTAAGTTTTCTTTTGTGGTAATTTAGATTGCAAAGAAGTTAACTGTAAAGAGTACAATACTGTCTTCAACAATAATTCTTTATGCAAATGATATTCTTTAGTGTTTTATCATAATGTAATGGACTAACTTATAATTCTTCTGATGTTATACACTCTAAAAATATCAAAATGGCCAAGTTTCAAAACTAAGAAAGCTGGGTCACTGTTTTGTGCTAAACAATTTTTTTTTCTCTCCAGAACCTATCATATATGTCCATCCTGGAACAGCAAACTTTTTCATACAGATGAAAAAGAAAAAAAGACAGTTCTTTCTAAAAATCCTTTGCTCCTGGAGAAATCATTGTGTACTTGTGCAAGGTAAATGCTGAGGACTCTTAAGATAGAAGCTATTTTGAAAACCTATTTTGTTTCGAAATGAAAGTTACTTACAATTTCCCAGTCTGGTAAATTGGAAATATCATAGCTGATGATCTCTGTATGGTCTCTGAAAAACACAAAAGAAATAATAATTGTAATAATTCTGGAAGCTTTGAAGAAAGTGAGCTTTTGACAATTTATAAGTTGCTAGTAATTTTTTCCAAAATTTGGAGAGGGACATCTGTTTGTAAAAGGCACCAGGAAAGAAACTAAAATAACAAAGTTAAAAATTTGTCAATTTAAGGAAAAAAAAAAAATCTCATGACTTAAAGAATTTTAACATATTTCTACTTGAAGTATATTAATTTCTAACCCAAAAGAAATTTTTATGGGGGCGTGGCCAAGTGGTTAAAACATTTGCTGTGAGAGCCAGGTTCAAATCTGACCATAGTCGACCTATCAGCAAGCTAAGTTTGTTGATCAATATATTTACATCAGTAAATCAAATATCTTCAATAGAAAAACAACAAAATAGGTGGGATGATAACTTCAAAAAACTTAGAAACAATGAATGACAACAATGATTACAGTACTCAGGTATGACAAGGAAAGGTAGGTGTGATAAAGAAGTGTGAAACTGAAAAGGGAGAGTAACATGACCTGGACGGGGCGGGGGGGTAGCTAGTAGAATTTATGGCTTTGCTTAAAAAAAAAAAAAAAATAAAATAAAAAGGAAAGTTGTATATCAAGACTGGGTAATGATAATGATCGTGAATGGGATGGGGAAGTATTGTAATAGGTTGCTGCAAGTATAAAAAGACCTGTGCTGTGTGCACAGTACTTTCCAAACATTTTCATTATTATTGCTACTACCACTACTAGAATAATAACAATAATAAGCAGCCATAATAATAATAATCATCATCATGAATTTGCTAGTTTTCTTTTATTTATTTTATTGTTAACTGCCATCCATGCAACTTAATAGTGTTGTCTGGCACAACACTAGAAAGAAAAAGGAAGAAATATTTTTACTTATCAAAATACTAGTTGAGGCAACAGTCTATTTTGGGTAAGGGATAATGATTTGGATGCAAATTAAAATTACAAGATAAAAATAGTAATAGTCATTCCATTGACTTGTTTATTAAACCATAATATATAGTCTTTAATAATTCTATGATTTGTGAGTGGTGTAATAGATAATGGCTTGGAATGAGAAATCAGAGAGCCGAGTTCAAATTCCAGTAGAGTTCATTAAATTCACTTATGTGCAAATACTCTTGGGAAAAGAATGAATCCATCTCTTCTCTCTCCAGATATAGGTTAAATAGTAAAACAGACTAGGCTCATCACCCTTGGATGGCATCGAGTCTAAGAGAAGACAAATCCAAATTCAAAATCGTTTGTAGCTAAGGAAACAATCATGGTGTTCACAATCCCGACTACAGTCAACATTCTCCTTTTTAATAATTCTAAAGAAATTTCAAAAAGGCTATTTCAAAAGTTCTCATGGCTACAAACAAACAGGAAGAGAAATATTAAAAGCAATTGGTGATTGCACTATTTATATTAATTGATAAAAAGGTCCAATATCATCTATGATATATTTGTTTTAGTTACAATCATATCACATTGAAACATGGGTTCTTATTTTATCACCAAAGTTAAGCAATGCTGAGCCCAGTCAGTACTTAGATGAGTGACTGATTGGGAATACAAGGTGTTGTAAGCTAAACAACAGGCTTAGCAAAATAGCAATGGATACAATCTTGCTACGTATATTACCAGAAAACCTCAATATGTAAAGCTGTTTCTGGACTGACAGGTTGCAAGACCTACAAGGAGTTGACAGGTGAAAAAGTATATATTTTGCATAGAAGAACTTACCTCAATGAAGGGAATAACTTTTTTTTATAAGCTGCATCAACTTTTCTGAGAAAATCATCAGTCAAGACAGGGCTGTTTACTTCATATGGCTAAATAAAGAGTGGAAAAATACAATAGAATATTAATTAAGTCTTCATTAGGATCTTTTAGAAAAGGGAAAAATGTAAAATATGACAGGAATAAGTAAAAAAATAAAAAAAATAAATTTAAATAGTAAAATCCTAAAAATTTGTATTTTACAATTGTTGATCCAGAGATGCAAGTCATAAAAAGAAAAAACTAGCAGATATTACTTCACTTTTCTTTTCTTTTTTTTTTTGCATACCAAGAAAATTTTATAACACAACCAGCCAAGACAAAGAAATTATATATCAAAATTCATAATTTTATAAATCAATATTAAAAATAAAATAAAACAGCTAGCTTGTAGCAACACTCATATTCAATGCTCAGTTTTAGTCGTATTATTTTAATTTCTAACATGTCAGTAGATCAGTTCCCTGGTCTCCTTCAAACAAATGTGGCATGCAGTTAAGTCTTAATTATGGCTAATTCATTCATTTCCTACAGCTTATAAACTCTTTGCTGGTTGTTTAAAGACAGAAAATATTTTTAGATGGTAAGAATTTTTTCTGAGATAATAGTTTAGTGATACAAGTCTTACTAATTAATCCATAGCTGGAGGGGAGAAGAGGTGGATTCATATCTTTCTCCAAAGGTATTTGCACATAAGTGAATATAACGAATCCAAGAAGAATTGGAACTCTGCTCCGATTAACAATTCTGAGCCATTATCCATTACACCACCTGCACATCCAAGTATACAGCACTTGGTATTGCCAAATGGTTACTGACTAGGCCCAACGTTTTTTAACTTTCAATATGATATGGCCATGAGCTTAAATCTTAAAGAATCTTATTAGTTATATAAAATACTGGCTTAAAATGGACTAGCCAATAAGTTGCAGGTGAAGTTGAATCAAATACTTCATCTGTTAATGTCAAATAAAAATATTCACAACTATTATACAGGGTTTCCCTAAAGTTTGGACACATAGGAAATCTCATTAACTATATTTTTTTGACTTCTACAGATTAAATGGTTATTTGCAAAGTGCATCAACTTGTGAATCACAAATGATGGAAATCATATTGAATATGTTATTTGTTAATATTCCAATTCAATAAAATGTTGCTGAAAAGATTGTTTCTTGAAAATATGTATTTTTGCCTAGGGTGTCCAGACTTTAGGGACACTCTGTAGTATATGTTCTACCTCAGTATTTAAGGTCTACCATATATGTTATTTATATTGCAGTAGGCCACATAGTACAATGGTATCAAATATTCTCTGAATATTGTCATATTTGATAATATTATTAAAGATTTCTGCATAAAATCAATAATGCTTAACAATATTTTCACCAAATTTCAAAGATATTTTCTAAGTATCAAACATGTTATATGTTTGATACTTAGAAAAAATGGAAAAAAATTTAAAAGTTTCAACTTACTATGCCACGTTTATTGATATTCTCCCTTACAGTAGCAATTGGTGCATCTAGATAGATGATTAAGTGTGGTTTCCATAAATCACAAATAGTGTTTTTTCGAAGCATGTTCTTGTAAAATGTCAGTGCTACAAGGAAACAAAAAACACTATGACTTTTGCCTCAAAATCATCACTAATAATTTGTTCATCTAAATACCCCCAATATTTTACAGAAAATAAAGGCAATCATGTAAACAGTTTTATGATACACAAGACCATCCATGAAACCTTTGAGTTCCTTTTAAAAGCAGTTCATGATATTAAGTTATTAGATAACAATATTATCAATTTTATTATTAATGACACATATTTTAATTTGTATTTGCAATACAAGTTATTGTAATAATTATTATTACTTATATTATGCAATATTACTTCAATCAAATGCAATAAGAAATTAAGAAAAAGCTTACTTTTTTTTTTTCTTTCTTTTTAAGAATGAAATTGCAAACTGATATCACACTAAAGGCCTTTCCATTCAAGGAATATTAGCCCCAGGCTGACAATTTATAACAATTTTAATATTTACCATATAATTTTCAAAAGGTGAAGATCATTCTCTCAAATTCAGCAAATGTCTGCTTAGAGAGATTCATATTTATTGAAATAAAGTATGTGTATTTTTCATTTTTTTTTTCTACGTAATCCTTTCAAAATAATAAAACTTTTTTTTTATTGTGCATATTTGTTTCTTCCTTACATTTATTTCAAAATATGTAACTGTGGCAAACCAGCATGCATCTATTTATTTACTATCAAGTCATGTGACACAATTTCTCAGACATACAGATTATGTTTTAGAATGACACACTTGCATAGCCTCTTCACCTATCAATTAGTTGCTAAACATCGGAGATATTTTTTATAAAAAAAAACGTTCTAATGTAGTGTAGTGAATTGTATAAATACATGTTGTCCTATGTATATTTAAATTTATTTGATAACGTTTTTATAATGTATTAAGGACGCTTATTATTTTTCACACACATAATAGTTGGAATATGATATACAACCATTTGTTTATAGGCGTGGATAAGAATGTGTATCGAAAAAAACAAAAAATACTTAATATCTTTTTAAAAATGCTTTAAAAATGGCCCTAGCTCAAGAACCCCATGTCTAATTTCAATGAAATTTGGCATGGCAGTCTGCAGGTATTCAAGGTACAATATGCTCCTAAATTGGTTGGGGTTTTATGTATCATTTAAGCTGTAGCTTGGGAACACACATACATACAAGATTAGAGTTTTGGTATTATATAGATTAATTCTATTATAATAATCATAAAATGTTTATTTTAAAAGAACTATCTTATTTTTTTTTTTATTCATGTAAAGTTTTATTCATGTAATTAATTTTAATCTCTTGAAAGAGAGACTAACATAGAATAAATACGCTTTTCCTAGCAAGGGATCTAAAACCAAATATACTTCAGAAATCCAGTTGTCTTTTTGTTATTTATTGTGAAGATCAGATGGTTTTAGTGTAACACAGTACAATGCATTATTGTTTTAATTAAATATTACTAATATTCTCTCTGATGGGTTGGATTTGAAATTATACTATGAAAATATTGGCATTGTTTAATCTTCATACCCACAAAAAATGTATCAAAAGGACTGTTATTCCCTTGAAACTGCTATTACTGTATACACTTTTGAGAATAATAGTAGCATGAAGAGAATAACTGTCCTTTTGAAACAGTGGTTTGTTTTTTGTTTTTTAGATGCACAAAGGTCAAACATTGCCAAAATTTTTATGGGTAGCTAAAAGGTATTAAAATTTGAAGACTATATATACACTCAGTACACAATTTGATTTGAATTTTTATTCTTAGTTATATGTATACATACATTTTGGGGACATTTTTGCAGTTTATTATGTAAATCCTGGTTTCATGTTTAATGTTGTTTTGTTTGGTGTTGATTATATCAGTAATTATTTTTTTTAAGTGCCATATATACTCCAGTATAGTATTAGTTTATAGGATAAGTTTTTTGTAACAAAAAAAAAAGAAAAAGAAAAAAGTGTGTTGCACTATATGCAAGTAAGTTTTTTGAAGAATTTAAAACTCATGACTTTTTTCTGGAGGGGGTCAAAATTAAATCCAAAACATTAGGGGTCACACTATATAGGATGTTGGCTTATATATGGGTACATACAGTTGTCGAAACATTTTTTTTTTATCAAGTTTAGATGAATTCTTTTCAATTGTAATCATTATTGAGTTGGTAGGTATATGTACCTGGTTTTTATGAAGGTTATTTGTGGCATCTTTTTATTTTTGTGGATTTTGTAAGCTTTTCTTTTAGCGTTATATAGGAAATAATTAAGATATTGGAGGTGTTTAAAATTATTTTCAATGTATTTTTATTCATCATATAAACATTGAGGGGTACAAATTCTAAGTGCTCTTAAGTAAAAAACTTATAATTATGCTAGATTTTTTTTTTTTGTACTTTGGGCATAAATAGAAATTTATGAAGGTCAAAAAAAATCATTGCTAACCTTCTGGTGTCATGTATCCAAGCTGGGCAAAAACTTCTGGAAAAACCATATCACTGAACACACTACGTTCCATTACAACACCTTGGCCTGAAGAATAAAAAAAAAATTTTTTATCAGCCTTCACAAAGAGATATGCAAAATACAATAAATAAATAATAAACAATTAGATTAAATATTTCAACAATTAATGAAAAGCAGTAAATCAACCATTCATGAACAAGAAACTAAAGTTAATGACTAAAATATAACTGCATGGTTAAATAAAAAAAAAAATAGCCTAAAATTATAAATCATCCAAGGTGAGAGAGGGTTTCAAGCAAGTTTTGGGAGAATCTCTAAAACACATCTTCAATTTCAACAAGTCGACTGATTATGTAAGTTCTAAAATGAAATATTAATGTTCATATTTTTAAGAAAGAAAATCTACCAGATTTAATCTTCCATATAATCCACATATACAAAATGCAGTGTGCACCCATTTGCACTATGACTGATCTTATGCATACAGAGAATCAAAAGGATAGTTTTTCCATTGAAACCAATATTATTTTTACTACCTTCATGACTTGATGTTTGTTGTTTTAAAAAGTGATGATTAGAATTGTAATAAAACCTAAACACATGATGAAAATGAATTTATACATTTTCTTTGCTCTTGAGAATTGACCACAAAAATAATAAACACTATCATATTATTTATTGAAATACTTGGCAAAACATTGGCGGATTGCCTATCAATTTGAAAATTTATAAAAACGGTAAATAATAAGTTGGTGCACATATTTCAATAATTTTGATAATGTTTATAAATTTATGAATAATAATCGTTTTCATATTTATTCCTTTATAAATTGGTAAATGATAAATATTGCTCTGGATTTTAGAATGTTGTAAATATAAAATTATTCTTGTAAGTAAACAATCTAATAAATAAATAGTGCCTAATATTTTTGTTGTAGATTCTGAAAAAAAAAACAAAAAAACCCAAAAACTCATTTTCAGCATACCTTTAGGTTTTATTACAATTCTAATCATCACTTTTTAAAACAATAAATATTGCTGAGGGAGTGAAGATAGTTAAAATAATAGTGGTGTCAAGGGAAAATCTGTGCTTTTGACACTCCGTTTTTTTTTGGTAGGCATAAAGTTCAATGTTTGCCAAAACCATTATTTCACTCAAAGTATTTAGTTTGGAGTCCTTAGTCACAAACTGCATGATTCTGAAATTATTTAAACTCAATATATCATTCTTTGTACAGTCAGGAATTTACTCTGCAGTATGCAAAAACATTTAAAGGACAGTTACAAAATTTGCAGGAAAATATAAATCTCATATTACCAAAACAATAAGAGAATCTTTTTTCTTTTAAAAACAGCTTATCAACCCTTTCTGGGTTATTTAAAACTGAAGCATATGAATTATAAGAGGCTGCTTACACTATCCAGTGTTCCCCTATCTTAGTACTTACTGGGCTCAATGCTATTTAACTTTGATGTTTTCAATGTGATTTGACTGCAGACGAGCATCTTAAAACTATAAGGTTAATAAATTCTGTTAAGTGTTCACATTTTTAATATTTTCTAATTTTTGCCTTCAGTCAAACTTGGCTTAGTTCAGCAAATATCTATAAGATTGAAAGGTTAGATTATTTGCTAAAACATTACTAGAATATAGTCAGTTTAATGAAATTATTTCCTTTCAGAACAAAGGGCACTCTGATAGCTAAAACTAATCAATGTAATGATATTTTTTTTATATGTGCATAATGATAAAATAAAAACAATATAAAGTAAATTCATACCAAAGTTATTAATATTCAGTGACATGACTAAAACGAAATTCATAATATTTCGATATAGTAATTGATTGGTGGCTGGCAATAACACATGAAGGTAGCAAACTCCTTCAGTATGCCTCTCTGGAATCACTTAAGTGTTGAAGTTCATCAGCCACACTTTAAAGCAAGACCCAAACAACATCTGCAATGTGACAGTGACTTGGGCCCCTGACTGTAAAAGGGGAAGAGGAAGACTAAGAATAACATAATGAAGAACTCTGGAGAAAGAGCATGAAAACATCAACTGGTGACCTTGTGGTGAGGTGCTAAAAGCAGCTGCAGACAGGGCAGAGCGAAATGTGTGATTGATTTGCTTTTACAGCTTATCAATCCTTTGTATATTACTTAAGTCTGAAACATTTTTGGATTGTAAAAAATTTTTTTTTAATGACTGATTAATTGCATCAACATTTACTTTTGAGAATAATTTTTCCAGACAGAAGTTCTACTATTTAACCCATAGCTGGAGGAAGAGACAATGGTGTTTGTGCATAAATGAATGTAACAGACCCAAGGGCAAAGTAGAGACATGTTGTGGAGGCACCAGGTAGATAAAATGTAAACTATTCATTCTTTAGTCAGGGATAGACAGTTTATTTTTTCAAAGCTGTCTGTTCCTGTCTCAACAAAAATCTTAAAAGAAAGCAATTTGTGATGATTATGAACGAAAAAACTGTTCTATCTCCCCACCCCCAAATAAAGCATTATGACTTACCAGTGTTCAAGATGTGTTCAAGGGCACTAACATAATGGTAGAAACGTTTATAATACAGCAACATCTGAGGCCGACCAACTTTGAGATTTTTGGGATTTTTATCACTTAAAAATTTTTCTAGGTCATAGGATTTATTTGGCCCATCAGAAAATTGCTCATCCAATTTCCGCATATCATAGCCATCTTCATTTAGCCAGACTTCATCTGGGTGGACATCCGGCATATAAAGAAGATTAAAACTCTCAGCAACTTTTTTGGCAAATTCAGTTTTACCAGTGGCAATATTACCATCCACCTAGAAGAAAAAAAATTTAAAATTAATGTAAGACTTAAGTAGGAAAACATTTACAGCCATCAAAACAAATCTGTTGCATAATGCAACTGTATCAAATAAATGCCTAAACTGAACAAATCAGAGAGAGAGAGAGAAAAAAGGTAAAGACATCAAAATTTATGTGAAAAAATTACAATTATATGCTATTTAAAAGAGGATGACTTATCAGGACCATAGTTAATGTGAACTTCATGATCCTTTCCTTAGCTACATACTATATATAGTTGACCAGAGCTACAGAGCCCAGACTATTTAATCCATGGCTGGGAAAAGATGAATTCATACCTTTCCTATATGTATTTGTGCATAAATGAAAGTAACAAACTCAACTGGAATTGCTCATCAATTTCCATTACACCATCCACAGAAGGATTGTAGTTAGCTTTTCCATTTATGATTAGTAAATACAGTTTTTATTTAATATCACTTGACCTCTAGAAATTAATATAGAATTTTAAGATTTAGAATTTTATACATTATTCTAAAAAAAAAAATAAATAAAAAAAAATAAAAATTCAAATTAAATGTTTTATTGAATTTTCTATTTTACAATTCAGAGATTTTCTTTAACTGTTTGACCCCCACCCCCCCAAAAAAAGAATTTAAATTCTCCAAGGACTTGAGCTTATAACAAATAACATTACAAGTCCTACAAAGAAGAAATTCTCCAATTTTTATAAATTAAATAAGTATGTGTATAGGGAGGAAAAAAAAATACCAAGATTTTTTTGATGTAATATTTATCATGCTTTCAACTTGTTCCGTGACTTTCCCCACCTTCATCATCATGAGAGCTGTTGCGACTTGAAGGCACACTGCAAATCTGTGTGATTTCTAATGTTTCAGCAACTTTATAAATAACTCTTATCAGTCCTTTTGAAAACTGTTGTGCTAAAACTTATGAAAGTGCTGCAGGTCTTCAAAGTTTTTACAGGGAATGATGGAATTTTATTCATAATTTTTTCTTAACTTTGAAAATTTATCTTGAGTTTTTGTATACAAATATATATCTAACAAAGTGATTTTTTTTATTAAAAAAATAAAAATAAAAGATAGCTGGACAAAATATTGAACAAATTTAGGGACTTGTCTGCTATAACAAAATAAATTACAGTATTCATGTATAAGAAGGAATCCATGACAAAACCCCTGCCCTTTATCCCCAAATACCAATCTCATAAATAAAAAGAAACAAATTTAACATTGAAAATGCAAAGAATATTTAATTCAAATTTTAAATGTCAAATCCAGACAATAATAATATAAAAATATATGCATACAAATACATATAGCATAAAGCTTTAGTGAGCATGAAAAAAAAGTCTATTGTTTATTGTTGCAATTTGACATTATTGGAATCAATGGAGCGTATTGGATATTATTATTATTATTGTTGTCTCAATTTGACGTTAAAATTTGAATTAAAAATTCCTTGAATTTTCAATTTATTTATGAGATTGGGATCTTATCCACTTTTGGGATAATCGGTTGTTGAGTATTTTCCTGAACAAAAAGACAAGTACAGCCTCCTACAGGTAATTATTTCTAACTAAATTTTATGTGTAGAGTTGTCTTTTGGTTACGTTTCTTGTAAAACGTTTTGTGCTAATAATATTGATTTTAAAATTAATTTTACAGTTATTATTGATACTTTCAGCATAATGAGTTTCACACAAAAAATTTGATTGAAAAGCAGTATAAGATCTGTTGTAGCATTAAAGCTCACGTTTGTCAACCAAACATTGAATTTCCAAAATAATGTATTTTTAACGCCAAAAATCCTTACTAATCTTTGGCCCACCCACTGACGCAAGAAAAAAAAATAATAATAAAACATACTGTGGTCTTTCCTCTTCTTAGTCTCTAAACAAACAATTTGATCATGGAGGCCTTTTTTTATCATGGACATGCTCGTTTTAGAAAACTACATGGAGGTACCTATATGAATCATATGATTATTATTAATTTATTTTATAAACACTGTACTTTGTAGTATTTTAAATTTATGATTTATCATACTTTTGTTCCTCATGACATTTTCCCCTTTTCATCATCATGAAAGTCGTTTAAAAATGTTAAATTAAAAGTGGGTATTAATACCCACTTTTTTAATTTAACATTTTTCTTATGCAGTTTGTTTTGCTTCAATATGGAATTCCTTTCTTAGAGAATTTTTTTCATTATTGAGAAAAATTATGATATAAAGAGAGATCAAGTGAAATGGTTCTGTAGTGGGAATTTATTCGCTTTTAATGACAAACTGATATTCAATTTAGTAGTGTGCATTATTTTAAAAACTGAAATCTGATTTTGTGGTCATTTACGCAAAAATATGGTCGAGAAAGATTAGCAAAATCCAACTGGAATAAAAACATTAAATATATATATATATATATATATATAATCCAACTGGAATAAAAAAACAAAAAAAAAACAGATATATTTTTGTATTTAAGAGCCCCCCCTTTTTTTCTTTAATAACTGTAGCATAGAATTAGGATAAACTTTCGCAAACATATATGTACGTCGTAAACGGATACAAAATCAGGGTTCTGATTTAAGTTTAAAAATTAAAATATAAACCAAACGTTTTCGGTGGTTAGCGTAATTTTTTTCAATTTCTCATTAATTTCTTTTTTCGAAAGAAATGAATATCATGCAAAAAAAATACCTAGGATGAATAAACCATGGTTTACTAGTATTTATTTACATAGAACTTTTGTGAAACGTAATTGTAATGTATTTTTTATTTATTTATTTATTTTTATTTTCCCAGAATTTGTAACAAGAACGAGATAAGATTTTTAATTAGAGAAGAAAAGCTATGATTTAAGAATATTGATATTTAATGAAAAACTATTTTTTTCTGTGTATTGTGAAACTGTTAATGAAATGAATACAATGAGAGTAATGTTTACTTTGTAAACCAAATATATTTTATTTTTAACACACTAAAGTTAAATAAAGGAAACCGATAGTAGCTATAAGTTACAATTGTTTTTACACAAAAATATGTTATTTTTTTAAAATCGAAAACACGTAAAAAGTACTTTACCACAATGAGTCTGGTATTGTCGTCAAATCTTTTACTGGTGTGATCAAAAAATTGCCAAAACTGATTGTAGGTTTTTTCTTTGTATGGCCATGGCTTTACTCTGGTCCGGGTTTCAACCAAAGACAGTGCCGTAAGATGAGCGACAGGAGTTACATTTAGAGCGCTAGATAAAATTCCGGGTGAGATTCGAAATAAAGATCCAGCACACTTGATACCAGTCGCACCACTTCGAACAAATCCCAGAGCTAACATAATTTTGCTCTTTTCTTTACGGCACAACAAATTGAGAAACTATGACATTGCAGTGAGAAGAACGTAACCTTGGATCGACAGGAAGTAAGCGATGATTACAAAAACGGAAACCCACTCAGTTGTCTCCCTTGTTACAGAGTCTACCAAAGAGGGATCGAGGATTTTATAAATAAATTTATTTATAAAATCCCCGAACCCTCTTTCTTTATTAAATTTATTTTGTGGATAACTTAATGGAATTTATTTTCCTATGCTCTAGGGGGTATTTACCCCAGGCAGTACCTCTCCTTCGAGAGGAGGCTGGGCTTAATACCTGAGGCGTCCCAAAAAGGGGAAGCGCCGAGGGGGAAGGTGACCGGCCAATTTTTCCACGGTATTGCCATTGGAAACCTTCTTTAGTTTAAACTGATTTTGTATCACATTCGGTAACAAAGTGGGCACACTGAAAAACCCTTAACGGAATTTAATTAATAGCTAAACTCTTGATAAAACTTTTATCAAAAGTTTAATATACATTCTTTATTATGCGGTAATAAGTCTTTGTATGCATGAAAAATGATTTCTGATTGTATTCTTAAAACTAACTTTTGCTAGTTGCAACAAAAAATATTATGAAAAATTTGACAAACATAGATAAACGTGCTCGCAAATAAGACGTAGTTGTTATGAATAATCAAGAGTGGTCTCCCCTTGTTTTATTACTTTTTTCTTTGAGAGAACTATTTCTGTTTACTGGGACTATAAAAGGACACTATACGCGTACCTTGTATTCGCAGTTGAAGAAAGCTTTCTTAAAGCCTATACCTGCGTACTTTTGTCATTACAGTAGTATTCCGTTTACCGTTTATCCATGTTTGTCGAAAATGTATTGTTTTGGGGAATTGTATTGACAATGAATTTGAGTCTAGATGTTCTCTAAATGTGACCCTGTGTCATACATTACTAATCCGCATTAATAATGTGCATCTCTGATTCCGTGGTTTTACTCAAAACTTTTTTTTTTTTTTTTTTACTAAACTTTGGAAAAATACGAAAAAATCTAATCAATATGAATACAATATTTAAAAATACGTCTCGAGTCGTGCTTATTATTTATATAGAAAGTAAAGGGTGTTTTAATAACTTGGACCAATTTTAAGTGTGAATTAAGTTTAAGCGTCTAATGATTTTTTTTTATTTTTCTTTCAGATTTAACAACTTAAGTCTTTGTTAATCTTTCCATGGTTGAAATTGTCAATCAAACGTGTTAAAGTTTCAAGAGTACAATTGGAAAAATTGTTCGTAAATTCAAACAAACTGGGTCAGTGACAAATGTGAAAACACCACTGCATGCTCATTTACGCAGTTCAGCTGAAAACATTGCTGCAGTGCACGAGAATGTGGCCGAAAATCCAGACACCTCTATTCGTCATCGCGCGCAGGAATTGAAACTCGCCACAACAACGTTACTGCGTTTCCATTTGCACTCTCGGTTGTTCGATTGTGTTGACCAAAAAATCGCGAAGTGTGCGATAAGCATTTCTGTTTGAACGTCCATTTTCGTAATAGGCTTCGATAACTTTAACACGTTGATTGTTAATCTTTCCATGGTTGAAATTGTCAAAGACTTAAGGTGTTAAATGAAATCTAAAAGAAAAAGATCATTAGAGGCTTAAACTTAATTCACATTTAAAATCGGTCCAAGTTATTCACCCTTTACTTTAAAAAATAGTTTGTACAATGAATTTAAGGAATGTGGTATTTTAGATATTAAAGAATTAGTAAATAAAATACAAATAAGGATAAAAATGGAATATTGACTGCTGCTATATCTGAGCTGGATTTGCCTAATCCTCACTTTCCTGCCATGATAGAATTCATCCGTGTTTTCAACCCCTATCCCACAGAAGAACCGTCTGAAACCCATCTGTACTTTACCGGTATTTTCATGGAAAATGTCCTGATGAGTTACATCACTTAGTTCCACCAGTCCTTACCTTTGCAGCTAAGACCTTCGATGATATGTAGACTGAAACGAATCTTCCACATCCCCTTTATATTTCTTCAGTAAGAAGGAATAATCTCATCATTAGACAATTTCTTTCCAAGAAACACTGTTTCAGGGAACGAACTCCGGAGAGAATACTTTCTGGATGACTACAATCTTAATCTCTGTTAACAATTATCTTTTCTACATATCCTACACTACACTTCTTACCTCCTCTTCTTATATGCAACAACGTCAATCAGTAACCCTCTATCTTGACTGGCATATGAGCCTTGTATTGGGTGAACAATTAGTTAAAAAAATAGATAAGAAAAATAAAAATTATAATTTTAAAATTCAGTATTTTTATTTCAGATTTTATTTATTTTCAGGTTAAAATAAATGCAGGTAATATTTATTGTCATTGTAGAAATATTACTTTGGTTTTTTTTTTTTTTTAATCATATTGTTAATAATCCTACTAATAATATTAATAGTAATATCATAAATAATCCTAATTAATAGTAATATTGTAAATAATAATATTAATAGTAATATCGTAAATAATAATATTAATCAATAGCAATAAATAATAATATTAATAGTAATATCATAAATAATCCTACTAATAATAGTAATATCATAAATAATCCTAATTAATAGTAAGAGCGTAAATAATAATATTAATTTAATAGTAATATCGTAAGTAATAATATTAATAGCAATATCATAAATAATAATATTAAGAGTAATGTCAAATAATCGTGCTAATAATAGTAATATCATAAATAATAATATTAATATCATAAATAAACCCTGTTAATTGTTGAATATTATTATTTATTTATTGATTTCTATTATTATTATTTAAAATGTATATAATAATATTTCTTAAATTGGTACATTTGATGACTAACTGCTCACTCCGATATTCACTGTACGTGGTCATAGGGGGATCTAGATAGAGGTATTACTGTTACCGAGGAGTAGGTTATTAGGAAATATATGTAGATATCAGAAGGTATTATTTGTGTTGGTTGCGTGAAAATAAACTTCTCCACAAACATTTAACGTTGGGTATGGCACAAGGTCATCAACCACAAAATATAAAACAAACAATATTCCTTTTTAGAAAAATAAGAATAAAGCATTTATATAACAAATATATACACCATGAGAATGAGGATGTTCTTTAAGACAGATAGAGTTTGTTCAGTGTTCCTGTCAGTAAAAGGATTTTCAAAGAATTAATCAGTTCAGATTAATATTTTACATCGTAAATTTCTGTCATCGTTTGATATTGACGAATAGGTAAGAGTTGTCTCCCTTTACTTGTTGACTATTTTGTTGAATATATGAAACGGATAAAAAGATGGAAGCTTAAATATTACGTGAATAAAGTTGATTCAACAAATGAGTAATGTCTTTTGAAGAAAGTAATGAAACGGATAAAAAGATGGAAGCTTAAATATTACGTGAATAAAGTTGATTTAACAAATGAGTAATGTCTTTTGAAGAAAGTAAGTTGTGTTCTTTCTGGAAAGTTTGTTGTAATCGAAATTGGTAAATGAAATGTTGGTTGATATCAAAAGTTGAATTTTATGTTTAAAAGATAAACATTTTTGAGTAGATTGTGCATTAAATATTAAGAATCTTTTGGTTGTAAGATAGTTGACTCGAAGTAAGTTTGCGTTAAGTTATGTTCAAAGTTGCTTTTTGAATAAAATGTTTGTTTAGCAAACTATGTTTTTTGAGTAGAATTCTTGTCTCGATAAAAATCGTAGATGTTAAAATTGAAGGGTAGTTTGTTGGTGAGTAAGTGAATTCGAAGTTTGAGATTATGTTCAAAGATTTGAACGGCGTGAATTTGTTTGGTGAATTGTTTGATGCCACAAAGCTCACTGTTAGAAGTTGATGAGTTTATGTCGCTTCTAGTTGAAGGAGTGAATAAAATGAGTTAAGAGATGTGCAATGTTTGTACGTACGTGTGTGTGCGTGTGTCATAGCGTCTTCCCATATGGGACCGACGTAATTTCTCTAACGCTTCATCTTGTGTGTGAGAGAAGGCAAAAGAGACGGAGTTGAAAATGTGTCCAAGTATTTATAATGATGTATGTCATGTGATAGGTTCGAAATACATAGATTTTTGGCGGTAAAATAATCTTAACCGTGCGGACGTAGACGAAAGCATATTAGCATTAATTGTTCAATCAAGAGTCGGAGAAATATCAAGGCTCTGTGATCCACTTTAGTGTTTAGTTTGTACAAAAAATTGATGTCGAAATAAAGTGGTAGCAGAATGCTAAAGTACATTTGATATCTGGCACGCTGCTCTTTCGAGTGGACGGGCATCACTGGTCCTCAAACATCTTCTAAATCTCTCATATGATTGCTCCAATTTCTAATGCCTCGGTAAACCATTTCAGCTAGCGGGCTAGACTCACGTGAGAGGGTGGTGTTAACCCGGCACCACTGAGCGAAGGACCTCCTCGACGCAGGTCGCCGGCCAGGGTGAAAAAAGTTCCTGGGATAAACTACAACGGTCACGTGTTCGTGGCCAAGGTGAACCACTTAAGTGCAGGACATCGGCTGTGGTCTAACCAGGAGAAAGATGGCCTCTGCCAGATTAAAACGCACAAGACATGCCACATGATGAGCACACCAAAGAAACATTCGCGGAGACCCAGGCTCTGGTACACAACCGCGACAGATGGAAGAGAATGGTGGACAGCTCAGCACGTCGGCACTCCAACGATCCGGGATGATGATGATGATGATGATGAAGATTAACAATATGATTCCAACACTTCATACCAAATCTTAATAAAGCGTAGCTTAAATGTGACAGAAGGCTGCAAGTAAAGATTGAATTCATTGCTCAGTCATAATTGATCTAAAGAAACAAAATTGTTAACCATTACATGTTGAAGCGCCCGGAAAGAAGTTCCGAGGGTTAAGTAAAGTAATTTAAGGTTATAAGAAGGATAAACATTTAACACAATTCCTCATTCCTAGATAACCAAGAAAAACAAAT